ATACGGATTAAAACAAGTCTTCTCTTCAGAATTGTCATCTCCCACTTGTTGAGAGTATGACAAGAATACTCTCAATACCAGCCACGTGCAGATGCTTTTCAAGCTTTTCTCGACAGTCTGCTGTGACTTCAGATAAACCATCCGAAAGTCAATGGCAGTGATCCCGTACTACTTGGAGGAAAGGAGCATTCCAATTCAAACTAAGGCCATGTGGGGAAGGGAGAAGCAGTTTAATTGCCCCCACAGCGGGAATAACGAGACGGACAACCATATTGGATTAAACAAGGGCCACTTTATTAACTATATACAATTTATTAATAGCAACCGGCAAGGGAGCACTTCCTAAGTAGCGGAACAGACAAGGCAGGCGTCAGGCTGACCAGCCTCCTTGTCTGATATATCTGGGCGAGGCACCGACCCCGGTCTTGGGCCATTAACCTGGCTTGCGACCAGCAGCCCAGCCACGGGTCACCTCCCGGGAGTGCCTACCCCTGAAACCCTACAGTTTGCAGAGAGGAGCTTAACCCAAGAGGCTCCCAGAGGGGGTCCTCATTCCCCACCCGGGGCCTTAATAGCCCGCAAGCCATTCCTGAAGACCCCCCCAGTTCCCGGTGCTGCAACTGCCCAGAGGGGCGGGAGCGGAGCCGAGCCTAGCCAGGCCGGCTCCGCCCCCCCACGTCCCAGCTCTCTGCGCTGGGACGCTGCTTCCGTCCCCGCCTTCCCCGCGGCGGCAAACCAGCCCCTGACCGCCATTGCCTTCGGCGGCGATCGGGAGCTCCCTTCTTCCAGTACTACAGAATTCCACTGGGAAGATCCAGTCAAGACATCATCTCATCTGCTTATTTATTTATTTATTGTATTTATAACCCACCCTCCCCGCAAGTGGGCTCAGGGCGGCTCACATTGCCTGGCACAGTGTGCCAAGGTTCATATACAGTCAACACATTTAAAACTTAAAACGTTTAACACTGTTAAAACATTTATACAATCAACAATTTCCGATTAAAGTGCACTCAGTGATTATTAACCAAGATGGCGTAACATGTCATGCAGGCTCAGGCAATTACAAGCTCCTAGGCAGTTTGGCTTGATCTCACTGCAGCCAGCCTCCACCACAGATATTAATAGTGGTCATTGATGGTAATGTGGGCGGCTCCTAATTGAAGGCCTGGTGGAAGAGCTCCGTCTTGCAGGCCCTGCGGAA